GCTGGTGGGTTTGAAGCGCCAGCCGTCTGGTTAGCAGGCAAGTGTCTTAGCCACTATGCTACCAGAGCTTCCAATTGAGTATTAGAGATGTTTATTGCTGTCAGGTTGGTCACTATGTCTGGGCCTCTTTGATGAACAGAGCTAGGAAATAAACATGTACATTGTAATGTGTGGGAGAGAAGGAGGTGAGAAGGTATGCCTCCATTTATTTATTTATTAAAAATAAAATAATTCAGTTATTGCTGATATTCCTACTCAAATTCTGGACTCTATTTTTTTTTTCCCTACTTCTATATTATATCTCTATCACTTTTGTTCCACTGTAGGAATCCTACTTCTCAAAAACAAAAGACAAAACAAAACAAAAAGAAACCAAACTCACTGCTGTTGAGTTGGATCTGACTCATAGTGACCCCTCTTGGGTTTTTCTGAGGCAGTATCGCTACCGAAGTAGATTGCCCAGTCTTCCTTCCGAGGAGTGGCTGGTGGGTTTGAACCCTCAACCTTCTGGTTACCAGTCAAATTCCTTAGGCACTATACCACCAGAGTTCATAGAAAATATAGAATATTTCATTATTAGTCATTTGCTTTATTTACCTTACTTATGGTGGTGTAGTGCCTAAGGCATTTGACTGCCAACCAAAAGGTTGGCAGTTCAAACTCACCAGCCATTCTGGAAGGAAGACTGGGCAATCTGTTTCCATAAAGATTTACTGCCTCAGAAACCCAAAGGGGTTCACTATGAGTTGGAATTGACTCGATGGCAGTGAGTTTGGTTTTATACAACAATCTCAGAATAGGCATTTTAATTCTACCATCAATATAATTACTGAGCACAGTTAAAATGATTTTTTTTGTATATGTTCTCCCTACTACCCCTCTCATTTTTTAAGTAATTGTACTCATCTGCATTGTCTTAACATAATACCTAGTCCATATTATGTGATCTCTTTTTTAATGCTTATTTAGTCTTGGTTCTTTACATAATGGTATATTTAATGTTTACGACAAGTACTTACGTCTATGTTCCTAGATTACTTGGTGTTCAAAGCTTGTTTTCTAGTAGATTCTACTGCAAGGCCTCATGGAAACAGTATTCCCTGAATTCTTGCATGTTGGAAACAGTTTGTGCCTTTTGTACTTGAAAGCCAGTTTGCTTGGTATAAAATCCTTGGCTATGTTTTCTTTCACTGGATATCTTAATATATTCCTCCATTTTCTTTAGGTAAAGTCTGATGATAATCTAATTTTCTTTCACTTAAATGACATTTGCTGATTTTGGTACCATAATAATCTTTTTGTTTTTAAGTCTTAATAATTTACTGCTATGTGTTTTGTTATTCTGGGTTGGTGGTTGGTATTCTCAGGTACATGGAGGGCTCTTTCAGTATGTAGTTTCAGATCATCTTTTAAAGAAAATTTTTCTAAATTATAGATTTTAGTATTTGTTTCTTTGGTTTTGGTTTTCTTTCTTAAGAACTTGTATTATCAGTATGTTGAATCTTCTTTGCCTATGTCAAATATTTATCACTTTCTCTGCAACCTTTAGGTCATTCATTAATTCTTTTTTATCTTAAATTTTTTTCTTTGCTTTTATTGTGGCTTAAATTTTTTGCATTTATCTTTTTAGTGATCTAGAATTCATATTTTTGTAACCTCTTACTCTCTTTTAGGATGGAAATGGAGTTGTGCGTGGCTACTACTTATCAGTGTTTCTGGAACTCTCAGCTGGTTTGCCTGAAACGTCCAAGTAAGACATGTAATTAAATTGCAACTTTTCCTATATATTCACATGCACTTTCTCTTAACAATTTTTGGTAATTACTATATTGTTAATGAGTAGCTTTGGTGGGACAGTGGTTAATGCATTTGGCTGCTAACCAGAAGCTTGGCAGTTCAAACCCACCAGCTGCTCTGTAGGAGACAGATGAGGCAGTCTGCTTCCATAAAGATTTGTAGCCTTAGAAACCCTACAGGGCTGATCTGCTGTGTTCTAGAGGATCTTGATGAGTAAGGATTGACTTGATGGCAGTGGGTTTTGGGTTTTTATATTGTTAGTAACAATTTAGATACAGACTTCTGTGGAATCCCTGGAATAGTATGATGGCATAGAGCAGTAGTTCTTAAATGTTTTGTTTCAGAACTCCAAAGAGGTTTCCTTCATGTGGGTTATGTATATTGATATTTTCTGATTTAGAAATTAGAACTTAATATTTTTAAAAAAATTGCATCAACTTTCTTAAAAATAACAATTAAGGTATTGGATATTAACATAAATAACATTTTTAATGAAAATGATTTAAAGAAGGGACCATTTTTAAGTTACTTAAGGATAGGGTAGGACTTCGCTTAGAAGGGTGGCACAAATGGGTGAGCTCTGCCCTACTGATGAAAGATTAGATTGGTGGTTTGAACCCATCCAGAGGTACCTCAGAAGAAAGGCCTGGCAATCTGCTTCTGAAAGATCGCAGCCATGAAAACTCTGTGGAGCACGGTTCTGGTGTTTGCCATGAGTTGGAATACATGTTTGCCATGAGTTGGAATTGACTTGATGGCAACTAGTATATAATTTTTTAAGTTGATAGTTACATTTGTTCAGGCTATCAGAAGGGAAGAATTTTAGTTGGAATATTCACATTTAAGGTTTTAGTTTTATAAGATTGGAGGTGAGGTGCTATGTAAATAATTTAACGTGGATTACTTGGCATATTTATTAGAAACATAGGTATATCTCATGAATTTAAAGAACTGAGGAAGATAATAAAAGAATGATCTTTTTTCTTAAACATTATATGCTTTTTAATCTAAAACAACTGATTTTTCAGAAATATTTATATTAAGCTTTTACCTATACTTGGTCCTTGGTAAGGAGCTCTGGTGGCTCAGAGCCTGAGGCATCTAACTGCTGACCAGAAGGCTGGCGGTTCAAATCCACCATCCATTCCTCGGAAGGAAGATCGGGCAATCTACTTCCATAGAGATACTGCCTCGGAAACCCAAGGAGGGGTTCCCGTGAGTCGGAATCAACTTGATGGCACTGAGTTTGTTTGTTTGCTTTTTTAAGGTCCTTGGTAAATTTATGACATTAATGTCTTTTTTTACCCAGATTTTCAGTATTCTTGATTGCCTCTGTGTGAATTTGGAGTTTTTCATTATTATTTATCTTTAAATAAAGAATAGTATTATCATTGTTAGCATAAGTCAAAAAACCAAACTCACTGCCTATGGTAGTTATGTTTGTGTGTCAACTTGGCTGGGCCTGGTTGAGTGGCTGGGCAACTGGTGGTAGTTATTCCCCATGATGAGACTGGCAATCAGCTCCATGGTGGGATTTACCATGTGGGATGTGGTCTGCTTCCTGTATATAAGGAGAAGCCTTGGGAATGGTCTCTAGCCTATGGCATGCTTGGACCCTGCATGTAGCCGTGTCGTTGCTCAGCAGCTTGCTATGCTCCGCTGACTTTGGGACTTACAGTGGACTTAAATTAATGGCTTGCTGTGTGGTTTGGTAACATCGGGACTGTGCCTTTTTGCTTGTCAACCTTGGGGCTTCTCAGCCTCAGCAGCCAGCAGCTGTCTGAGTGAAGAAATGCCTCTAGCTCCAGTGGGCTGGGCGTAGGAGGCAGAGCTGGACCCCAAGGTTGAGGGGCTTTCACCCAGCCCCTAGATCCTGGCACTTTGAACTTGGACTTAAAGCCTCCAAATTGTAAGAGTAAACTCCTGTTTGTTAAGGCCATCCCATTTGTGGTATATTTCTTGTCTGAACAGCACTAGGTAACCAGAACATTGCTCGTTGAGTTGCATCCAACTCATAGCGACCCCACCTTGGGTGTCCGAGGCAGTATCACTACGGAGGTAGATTGCTCAATCTTCCTTTTGAGGAATGGCTGGTGGATTTGAACCGCCAGCCTTCTGGTTAGCAGTCAAATAAATGCCTTAGGCACTACACCATCAGAGCTCCTATTTTCAGCATAAGTAATCTTATTTTGTCATAATTTGATATTTGTGAAAATGAAATATTATTTCTCTGAAAAATTTTTCTGAGGTTCAACTTTTGACTCTCCAGCTTATTTTTTAGATACTTACTTCTTTTAAATATCAAAAGCAATATACGCTCATGTTAAAAAAATCTAAAATAGTTCAGAAATATATAAAACTAAAAGAGCCAGTCTCCCTCTCAGATCTAAAATTAGTTACACTCTGGTGGTAACAGGCACAGAAGTGCCCAGATCTTGGCTTCTAAATACCATTCTCCAGTAATAAGAGCCAGGGCATTTTTGGGAAATGATTAATTTTAGGGCTGGTGCTGGGAGAATACAAAATGAACTTGGGAAATCTAGTGCTTTCAGAAAGTAGAGAAATGCACACATACACATACACACAATAGGATAGGGTCATAGTGATAAATGTAAATGGCAGAATAAATAAGGGAGAAAGTGCAACTATTTTTTCACAGAAGAAATCCAATTGATGTAAAAGAATAAAGGAAATGGAAAATCATTGCTAGAGATGTATTAATATTAAAGTAAAAGAAGTTTTTTTTTTGGTTGGACAATAAGGTGATTTATTATCTCTTGTATCAAGAAGGGCTGAGGTAGGAATGATCTAGCAGCTTAACAACCCCATCAAGAGACAGATTCATTCTTTTCTTCTCAGTCTACCATTTTCAGTGTGTTGGCTGTTGCCTTCATGATCTCAGCATGGATGCCACTGCTCCAGGTACAGACCCTTACCCATCAAGTCTAGGAACAAGTCCAGCTGTCTCTTTTTAAAAGTTAATTGGGTCATGTGACAACAGTGAACCAGTCACAGACAAGGGGCCACAGAAATTAGAACAGGGCTAGGATCTTGTTAAAAAGTTATAGCAGGGGGTCAAACTGGAATGAATGGTTTAGAAGAGTCAGGATTTATCTGAATTACTTGGGGGAGGGTTCATGGACAAAAATGGAATTTGTCAGCACTAATTATTAGGTGCCACCAAGTTCATGCCTATTCATAGTGACCCAGTGTGATAGTGGGAACTGCCCCATACCGTTTCCTATTCTGTAATCTGTGTGTGTGTGTGTGTGTGTGTGTGTGCGAGAGAGAGAGATTTGGGTCAAAGTGTACAGAGCAAATTATTATTTTTTTTTTAATTGGGATTTGGGTGAAACTTTACAGAGAAAATTCACTTTCCATACAGCAGGTCACATATATTTTGTCTCATGACTCCAATTTCCCACAGTGCAACAGCTCCCCTCCCACTTCCTCCCCATAATTACCTCTTCCCTGTGTCCTTCCCTCCCATGTACTCCTGCCCCATGAGCTGTCTCCCTGGGCATACACAGCCCTTCTATTCTCCCATGATTGTTTTCTCCAAGGAGTGTATCTACCTAATGTAAATGTTCAGCTCATAGGCCTATCTTTTGTTTGGCTGAAAGCCACAGGCGTGGGTTCAATGCCAGATCTAAAGGGCAGCTAGGGGCCATAGTCTCAGAGGGTCTTTCAGGCAGAGCAAATTTGTTTTCTGTTCAACAGTTCAGACACATTTTGGTTTGTGATACTGATTGCTATCTCTACAGTGTAACAGCACTTTTCTATTTGCTCCTGTGTTTACCATTTCCCATCGTTCTTCTTCCCTATCCTTCCTTCTTTCTGAGCTTTATCCTTGGGCAGATGCTGCCCTTTTGATCTCTTATGATTGGTCATTCCAATGAGTGCATATCTCCGTGGTATTATTGTTTACCTTATATACTTGTCTGTCTTTTGGCTGAAAGTTGAGCCACAAGAGTGAGTTCAGTTCCTGGCTTAAAGGGTGTCTAATGGCTATAGTCTTGGGGGTTCCATTAGTTTCTCTCAGACCAGTAAGCATTATCTTTTTTTATTATTTTGAATTTTGTTCTACATTTTTCTCTCACTCTATCCAAGACCTCCAATTGTGATCCCTTTCAGAGTGGTCAGCAGTGATAGCCAGGCATCATCTAGTTCTTTTGGTCACAGGGTTGTGTTGACTGGTATTCATGCAGTCCATTAGTTCTGTGAAAATTATTTCCTTGCGTCTTTGATTTTCTTCATTCTTCTTTGCTCCAGACTGTAAGAGACCAATAGTTGTACCTTAGATGGCCACTCACAAGCTTTTAAGACCCTGGTCATTACTCATCAAAATAGGATGTAGAACATTGCGTTTGTGGATTGTGTTATGCCAGCTGACCTTCGTGTCCCCTGAAACTATGGTCCTGAGCCCCCAGGTCCAGCAACTCATTCCCTCAAGGTGTTTTGTCACGGTTAAGAAGTTTTCATAACTTTTCCCCTGTATGAGAAACAGGATATTTGCATTGCTTTAAGTATCTCCCCTAGGATATTTTTAGTGAAATAGTGAGGATGAAATAATTACTTTATAATGGAAAAACCTGGCAGGCATCACCTAAAGCACACGATAAAATTTTACATCACTATTAGTAAGACATCGACATCGTATACCCCCTGATATGATGTGCTGAGAAGTGCACATAACTTCTGTAGGATTCTTTCCCAAATTCCTAACCTCAGTCTACTCATGAGATAGCATTAAGCAAATCCAAATTGAGGATATTGTATAACATCCCTGACCAGCCATCTTCAAAAGGTCAAGGTCGTGAAGGACAGGGTGAAACTGAGGAAAGTACAAGTTGGGGAAAAAAATAGGGAGATATGACAACTAAATGCAATGTTGGATCCTAATTAGATCTTGAAACAGAAAAAGGACATTAGTAGAAAAACAGGTGAAATCTG